GGTTTAACCTGTGGGTAGCTCTGCATTATTTATTTATTAATAAGTTCAAAGGTCAACTGACTCATACCCAGTATTTTCCCCCCACGTCAATTGGTAGTTGAATACAGGGACAGGTAGTTTTGACATCTTACAACTAACAGGCACTTCACACATATCCCCCCCACACACACACTCTAAAGAGTTGGGCTTAGCCGACTTCATTCACAATTTTGTCATTTTGTATGAAAAGACAAAAAAACATTTTTTGCACATGAAAATAAGCACGATTACAGTAATTCAAAGGAAAGACTTCTCTACAACTGTAGAACACAGAACAATACAGCAAAAAGATTCCCATACCAATCCTCTTGCTATTGCTAAAATGGACTGGCAAACGTTTGTAACAAGACATGGCATCTCAGATGTATGTTTATAAAACCCCAAACCCATGGAAATACAAACTGAAATTATTCTTGCGTATGGGGAATACATAATTGCAACTAAACTCTAAAAAATTGGTGGGGGGGGGAGGAAACAGAACACCAGACATTTAATTATCAGGGACTGTTCCATCCTGAACAAATCGCGACCTCTGTGCTTTCTTGTCGCTTCTCCATTAAAAAAAAACCCAGTGAAAATGTGACTTCTCCTTAATGCTCCTCTTTGTTATGAACTGCTTTTTAAAAAATGGAGATAGGACAAGAAAGCACCAAGGTTGCGAAATGCACATAATACAAGTGTGTGAGTGGTTAGATCGAGAGTAACGTGTTAGGTGGGTCAGCGGTAACAACTTGGAAGACGGAGAGCCCCTTACTTCCTGCGCAACATCAGTGCCGTCTGTTCCTGTGGTCAAAGCCTGCTGCTGCGACGACGCGGCTGAAGTATCCTCGGGCGTCCGTGATCGCCGCTGCCAGGCGGGAGCCAGTACCGGAGTCTTGGGTGACCTGGCTACTATCTTGGAGTACAACATCGGCTGGGCCCCAGCCCCTGGTCTCTCCCCCTCGCTCCTGCTTGGTGGTGCAGAATGCTGCGCTGGTCTGGTTGAGGATTCTGCCGAGTCTGGACTCGGAGACGTCGATCTCCCTGAAAGTTCTCGGGGGGAGTTCCTTACTCCATTGGCAACAGAATGATGATCACTCATCTGCCCGTTTTCCAATCCAAGAGAGCCATCAGAAGTGAAACTAAGGCCTGAGGGGGCAGACTCGAGCTGCCCTGGACTGGGAGTATCTGGTTTCTGAAGCCATATCAAGCAACAACAATCATTCGCAAAACCTTTCATGAAACTCGTGTGCTGGTATCTTATGACGCTCCTCGTGCCGTCTATCACACAAAACACAGACATACCTCCGTGAACCCTTTTGACGCCTCACCTCCTGAACCTTGCTGTACCCTACACCTGGGCACACACAAGCCCAATCCTACTGCTTCCATTTAGATTCAATTCCAAGCATTTACAAAAAAATAAATAGGTCATAAAAGTGCAGAAGATTAGGTGTTACTACCATAAAGTAAAAAAAAAAAAAAGAAGGTGAGATTGGATGACGGCGTTTGACGGGAAAAGAAAGAGCAAACCACACCAGAGTATATGATGCCAACAAGGGTAGATATAACACAATGAAGGAATATATAATGTAAATGAAAAGAACATGAGGACAAAGGCATACCATAAGCACAGATATTTTAGTGAAAAAACAAAAGAAAAGAGACACATGCGCACACAGCTTTTGCAACAGAGACACCAGGAAGCGGTAAAGCAAACAAATCTAAATTCTACACAATGCATTCAGAGAAAGTACTACTTACATCTATGAAGGCATCCATATCGGATCCACTGATTTCCTTACGATTGATCTCTTTTTTCTTTTTCCCTTTTCTGACATCTTTGCCTTGCGTGCTGGCTCCTGAAAGGGGAAAAAATATTGTCCATGAGTATGCAAAGCAGGAGACAAGTATTTCTTGAGAGTGTGTTTGTTAGACAGTGAAGTCAAATTCACCTTGAGTTTAATTAGTTTTAATGGCACTTGCAACACAATTAGGCTAGGTCATACAGGTGCTCAAGATTCCTAGAGGTTTTACAACAGAGTAACAAACACCAAAAAGGAGGAGAGATGGTGACGATAGAGGCTTGATAAGAGAAAAAAAAGGGGGGAGGGCAAACACCACCGAAGCAGCTGCCAACCACCCACCCACCCACTTACCACACACACAAATCCTCCAAAAGGGCATGACACTGGGCTGACACAACTAACTATATAGTTGGTTACACAAGTACTGGCAACGGAGTTCATAAACAATAAAACATATTTATTCTTCAGCTTCAAAGACCCCAGTAACACGGGAGGACGTTAACCTCGACAGCGGCACACCACGCTCATCCCCCTTACCCTGCTAGAAGAGCAAACGTAATAATATGTTTCCTGCCATACGCAGACGAAACAGCTTTAAGCTTTTCTTACTCACGGCACTTTCGAGAAATCAACGATTTTTCGGTTTTCTTATCACATCTAAAGTGTTTTGCACAGTACATATGTACCATCAACGGTTGGTCTCGCAAACTGAAGAGAATGTCATTCCCTATGCTGAACAGAATATAAGACTTTTAGAAAACCCGAAAGATCGTCGATTTTTTAAAAATGCTGTGGATAAGAAAAGGGTGTTCTGACAGCAAAGGGCAGTATATAAGTGTGTGTAACGTGTGTGTGTGTGTGTGTGTGTGTGTGTGTGTGTGTGTGTGTGTGTGTGTGTGTGTGTGTGTGTGTGTGTGTGTGTGTGTGTGTTACGTGTAGGTGTGTAAGTGGTCCGTCAGTCCCCGGCCGGCGAGGTTTCCACCCCGCGTGCAAACAGACACACACACACATGGCGGACGGCGGCGGCAACAGCTGGTGCTTTCTCTCGGGGAAACGCAGCGTCATCACAAAACCGACACAGTGAAGGAAGTCATTACAAAACGATAGAGAGAAGGAAGTCATTACAAAACGATAGAGTGGAGGACTTTGTCGTGCGTCGTCACTCACAGAGACCGAGTGAGTGCCGGGCGCTCACCCCAACATCGGACAACACGGATGTTCTCAGGCGACCATGGCGGCACGCACTGGCTGGC